AGAAAACTTACCATAGTAATGTATATATTTTTTTACACCATCAGAAAGTAGAGATTTCAACGAAGAAAAAGCCCACCGACGTTTTTAAAAAAGCAGATATTTTGACGTGAGAATTTTCGATTGAAAATTAGGGTGCTTTTTCGATATTAAGTAAAAATAAGGTGAAAAAATAAATATTTCAAATCAAAAAAATTACAGCGTGTTTGGGACATAAATAGGTAAGTTTTCACCAAATTTCGTAAAAAAAAATTTGTTTGTAAAAGATAAAAATAAAAAACCAAAAACTTGGTTATTTGAATTTTTCACATAAATTTTGAGGTTATGTGAAAAAAGTGTAAATACAAAAGTTGTACATCTTTTTATTACCTACAACTTTGCCATTTAACTTTTTTGCATAAAACTTGTAATTTTTCCAAAAATCAAGAAAAACCATTTCTTTTCCTTAAATACTCACCCCCTACCCCTTCCCAACCACAGATCACCCATAAATGATTTTTCCTTTAACTTCTATTATATTCCCTTCCTCTTACAATGGATTTAATTCTATAACTTTTTTTAATTTAAAAAATTATCAACCCTGGTCTGTTAATACATAATTTATACTATTTTTACAAACATTTATTAATTAACAAATTTTTCGTGAACTTAATCTTTCATATTATCTGTTGTAAAAGTTTAACTAATATATGAAGACCACAGGGGAAAAAGGGGGTATGTCACAAAATGTTAGTTTCGAGAAAATCGAATTTTTAAGTTTGGACACACTTATTTTTATCATGTTGATAAATTTAAATAAAAACTTACTAGTTTTATTAATGAAAGTATATTTAACAAGTCTTTAATAACAGTGTAGCTAAAAACAATATGTATCTATACAAAAAAGTAAAAAAACGCAAGCCATTACCCGTTATTCAGGGGAAGAATGGGTATTGTCACAAAAATATACGCATATTCTGGTAAGGAGGATTGTCCAGTTTTACATTTTCTTCTTTCCACACTTCTTCTTTTTGCCTTTTTCACTTTGAACTATTTGTAGTTTTTTCTTGCATATTTCCACTTTTCTTTATCTGTGTGACGTATATTGTCATAGTAATATTGGGCTTCTATAGAACAGAACTTTTTCAGATCTTGCAAATTGCTGAATTTTTTATCTGATATTGGAATGATACAAATACAAAGGAAATAACGTTATTTCGTTATTTATGTTATCACACACACTGTGGAGATGATTTTAAAACAAACTACATACTAAAAGCAAAGCTCATCATTCGCTTAATAATAACGGACATATATGGACCTTCCCCGTTTTTATCATTTTTCATTTGGACATTCCCCGTTTTTTCCCTGATGCGTACTTTTCAAACACGAATATTAGTGAACTGTGCTATCTTTTTACAGTGGACATATTTTTATAATAAAGTATTGAGGTTCGCCTACCCGCTAGCGGTGTCAGCTCATTTTTCGATATTTGGGACATTCCCCCTTTTTCTCCTGTGGTCTTCATATGTCTAAATATTTTATTTGTGGGAAGTCTTTTTTTATACATAATAAGGAAAATTCCGCTGTTAAAGTTTATAAAGATTGTGTTATTTATTCATAATGATTTTTTAAAGTTAACAAAAAATTCAAAATCCGAAATGTTATAAAAAAATGTGAAAATAATGATTTTATAAACATAATATATATAAAATAAATTTTTTAATTCTGTATTATTTTATTTATTTATTTACCATGTAAATAATTTTTAAAGAAATATATTTTTTTTTCATTTGCTATTATCAATATCATGACAAAAAGAAAATTTTTTTATTCAAATTTTCACTATTTATTTTATAAATATTTTGTTATAAAGAAATTCTAATTTTAATTGAATTTATTTTTCGTAACTCTAACTTCAATGACTTAAAAATTATAGTCATTTAAATAATTAGATAATGTATTTTTTTATAAACAAAAATTTGTAAAAATAGAACCATTGTAGATATGAAGCAGGTAAAGAAATTCATGTTATAAATCAATAAATTGTGTAAAAGATCTACCTCAATTCCAAAGCCCGTATCATCAATAGTTTAGAAGTTATAACAATTGATAAATTCATAAAATTGGTGACCGTTTCAACTTTGATGTAATAAAGTAATCAAAATGCAATAAGAATTAGAAAACGAATTATTTAACATTTTCACGCATATAGCTACATTTATAATTTATTTTAGTTACGAAAAAAAAATTAAATGAAAATCAAATTTTGATTATAACAAATTCTTTATGAAATTAACAATGAAAATTGGAATAAAAATAATTTGTTTTTGTAATTATATTGAAAATAACAAATAATTAGAAAAATAATTTTTTACAAAACTATTTTAAATGACAAATAAATAAATAAAATAAACATTAAAATAATTTATTTAAAATTTTTTTTTTTCGAATCATTATTTTACAAGGACAATAGAATGGCAAATAACATTTTTCAAATTTATGAAACTTGTCCATTTGTTTATAACAAATTTAGAAACAAATAACATTAAAAAATTTTTAACTAGGCTTATAAATAATTTTTTATAACATTTCTCGAATTTTGCATTTTTTGTTAACTTTCAAAAATAATTATGAACACATAAAAAAACCTTTAAAAACTTTAACAGCGAAATCTTGCTTATTTTGTATAAAAAAGACCTCCCGGAAATAAAAACTTTATACATACATTATTTACACTTTCACAAAAGATTTAATGAAAAATAAAATCCACAAAACATGAGTTAATTAACACTTGAATAACTTTAACAAAAGTCTAATTAAAAATTATTTTCCAACTAAGCTGTATTCCCTCAAATATGTACACGACAGTATAATTTATTTAAATTTTGAAAATAATATTGAATCCTATAAAAAAATTATTTTGTGTGGATCCCACCGCACGAAACAATACTTTTAAAATCAAATTAAAATTGTAAATAATAAAGCTACAATTCCAT